GCTGGATGATTGATTGGTGAGGGAGTTGAAGAATCAGAAATCAAGATTGGTGAGTGAGGAGTGTTTGGTGGTGTGGATTCATATGGTGGAGGTATTTCTAGAACGTCATGAATGGGGAGAGGTAAACAAACCGTAAGAGGTTCTGTTATCCCAGGAATTGGGGTAGTGGTATCAGAGTCTGAAAGGGAGTCTTCTGATGAGGATCCATCAGAAGTGTCTCCCATAGCCTGCAAAACCTTAGAGTCAAGTTTTTTGTTAGATTTTAATGCTAAAGGCTTACCTTGTTTTTGAGGCTCGTCTTCTTCTAGCTCTATCTCATGACTTCTGAGGGAGCTAACAAGTTCCTCCAGAGATATCTTGTTGAGATCTTTAGCCAGCTTAAGTGCAGTGACCATTGGCCTCCATTGCTTTGGTAGACTTCTGATGATCTTCTTTACGCAATCAATAGTAGAATATCCTTTGTCAAGAGCTTTCAGCCCAGCAACAAGAATATGGAATCTTGAGAACATTGCTTTTATGGATTCATTGTCTTCCATCTTGAATGCTTCGTATTTCTGAATGAGCGCAAGGGCCTCGGTTTCTTTAACTTGTATGTTTCCTTCATGCGTCATTCTCAGAGAGTCAAACATGTTTTTGGCTGTCTCTCTGTTTGAGATCTTCTCATATTCTGAGTATGAGATGGCACTGAGAAGTATTGTTCTGGATTTATGATGGTTTCTGAAATCACGCTTTTGCTGGTCAAACATCCCTTTTCTATCTATCTTCTGACCACTTTCATCCATAGGATGTGTGTATCCATCAATTAGCATGTCCCATAGATCGACATCATGAGCCAGAAAGAAGCTCTTAATTTTGTCTTTCCAGTAGTCAAAATTTTCTCCATCAAAGACTGGAGGTTTGCCGCTGATTTTATCCTTGTCCTCATGATAGTCATTGCTGATGTTTTGGCTTGGTCCCACCATAGTGTTTTTCTAAAGCTTGGATCTTGTACTGACACAATTAAGTGTATGAACTCAGAACCAGGCGCTCTGATGCCAATTAAAGAAGTGAAAAACACAAGAAGGGGGGGGGGTTAAATTGAAACTTAAAATCAAAAGCAGTAGACACGATATTTTTATCCTGGTTCGTTTGATCTCAAACTACTCCAATCCACCCGCCAAGGTGATTTCGCCTCTCTCCAACGAGGACTTAATTCACTAATCAAAACTGATTACAATACTACTTTGACAACTGCCAAAGCCTTCTTGAGTACAACCACAACCTGGTTTATCTCAAGGAAAACTAAATTAATCAAAAGGAAATGATTTACTGTGTACTGTTATTTTTCGTTACAAAAACTGTATCACTACTGTGATATATTACACAATTTGAGAGTATAAGAGAATATGAGTATTTGCAGCGTTTAAGATGTATGAGCAGTCGTAGGTGAAAATCGTAAACGATTGGTCCTTTAAGCTTGTTTATATAGCGTGGAAATCTTGTCCAAAATAAAGCGTGATAATGGACACTCAATGCACTTTCCATACTGAGGAGATTCTTGTCTAAATGAAGTCGTTGCATATGATACTGTCTTAATTGAAAAGTAACGCTTCAGAACAATAGAATCTTGCATGCTGCTTTTACTTCAGAACTTTGATGACTCGGAGATATGAGGATTTGTTGGTGTATAAGACTTCTGTTCAGAGTCAGAGTATCTTTTACTTCAACGCAGATTTTGATCATCGTTCTTCATAATATTCTGATTAGCTCATCTTGAAAGCTTATGTAGCTTAACTTCTGATGTTGTTTCAGTCAGAACTTTTGTATAAAAAATAACACATATTTAGAGTGCATATTTGTTCTTTGTGTTTGTTATCATCAAAACTCTAATTAAGGGTTGTAGAATCAAACTATGTTCTAACAAGCACGTTCCTGATACAATAATTTACAAAATATAGGAATTATGCAGAAAGTAAATTACAAAACATAAATAACACATTCAATTGTTAACCTAGTTCAGTGCAACATCACCTACTCCGGGGGCATCCAAGCCAGGAAGGAAATCTACTATGATAGTATTAGTTTAAAGCTAAACAACACTAGATTACAACTTATCACCTAAACACTACCTTATATAACTTCTACCTAGGAACCTCCTAGATATGAGAACCCCCTCTCACTTCCCACAGTCACCTCAGTGACAATAACAAAAAAACAGAAGAACACATTTCCAATTACAATACCCATTTTTTTCTTAAAAGCTTTTGACTGAGAATAATAACTTAACACTCGATCTACTCTTTGCTTAAAAGCTCATGAGTGACTGACAAGTAACAACGAACAATCAGTCTACCTCAATGTATCAGAAGATACATGGGTGACAACAAAAACAAACAAAGCACACTAAAAATACTCTCAAAATCCTAAGCCCTTATTTCATGCACACACGGTTTCTTGATGAAAATTATTACTATTTTTTGGTTTAGTGAGTCCTTATATAGAGAATCTTGCAGTATGGGCTTAGACTCTTCACACAAATTCAATCTCCCAATTGTAAATCATATGCAAAATCTTGTCCACAAAAATATGAACAAATTTACAAAGTTTCCTAAAAAGTCTCCAAGATCTTTTTTATGAAATCATTCAAATCTGCACTGTTCCTAATAAAATCCTTGCTTAGATGCGACCATGTGAGAACTAAAATCATCTAAAATATCATGTTTTAGAATCAAATCTTCAGGGATTTAAAATGTAGAACTGTAGTGAAGTTCATGTATAACATGTCACAACAATTGTCAGAACATCCATCTTTAATAAGGTCTGACCAACATGTTAGGACATCTCTGACAACATCTTGTTGTGAACCATGTTTTGGAAAACTGTTGCCAATCATAAAACCATAGATCTAGCACTTTGATTCCCATATTGTCACTACAATGTTATCAAATATTACCATCGAAGAATGTAAGATTTTTTGACACAATATTTTACTCATAAAAAATTTCTCCACGCGACTTTACTTGGTTCACCAATCGAGTGATTCTCGTTATGTAATCGTTGATTGTCTCCTTTTCTTCCATTTAAATCAATTCAAGTTGACATTTATGTGTTTGTAACCTCACCACCTTCGCATTGTCAGCCCCTGCATATGCCTTTTCTAAAATTTTCTACGCTTGCTTTGACGACTCACAATCACCAACTTTCTCAAATTTGTCACCAACCGCACATTGACAGATTCACCTCATTCTTGATCACTTCAAGAATATCTTGTTAGCCAAACAACACCTTCATTTGCTTGCACCATTTATCGTAATTCTTTGGATCAAGGATTTGTAGGTTTGTAGGGATTCTTTCATCGGAGACAAAATTCATGTTGCACACTAAGTGTCTGGTGTATCAAAACAATCTATTGATGTCAAATGTTAGAACTTAGAATCACTCTTTGGTGAAAATGGAGGGTTTAAATTAGTGCGAGAGATATTGATGAGAATTAGAGAGAGATTTATTGAGGGTGAGAATTTTTGGCATTAAAATTCATATAAATACCCCTTGGATCAAACCAGACTATTGATGGAAAATGTTAGAACTTGGAATCACTCTTTGGTGAAAAATGGAGGGCTTGAATGTGGAGAGAGAGAGAGGGTGATAATTTTTGGCATTAAAATTCATATGAACACCCCTTGGGTATATGTACAAGTTACAAGTTGAGTGGGATACAAGTTACATCATCAAACTGCTGAAAAACAAAATTATCGAGCATGTAATCAGTTACACAAAACCTATAACCGATTGCAAATGCTAAAAATAGAAAACTAACTAACAGTGGTAACCTATTACACCAACTCCAAAAGCACTTTTTCTTCAGCTTATTTGACTTGCTTTGACGCCTGTAAGCGATTACACCCATGTGTGAACCGGTTACACCAACTTGAATTATTAAAAAATTCTTAACAAATTACATCAATCCAAAGTAATGAGAAATGGGTTCAGAGAAAGTATTAAAGTTCAACGTCGCCTTCAAACAAAAACATTTACAGTTCACTGTTGAAAACAACCCAAAGTTAGACATTGGAAGAGAAGAAGGATCCAAAGAACTTACCTCAGGCATTTGAAGCTTCAATTTCGTCTTCGATTTCGTTTCCAATCGTCCACTTCGTCTTTGTGTGCACCGTAATCTTCTTCTTCTTCTTTGTTCTACTGGGAAAAATCTGAGTTGATTTGAGATTTACGTATTGGGAAACCCTAGCATTTACTGGGGGTAAATAAATAGGAACATATACAATTCATAACAAAAGGATAATAAAAGTCACACTGTCAATAAAACACACGCCACACTGGATAAAATAAGGAATTTTGAGTGAAATAGTGCGTTCGGGGGTCTTACCGCCGAAATTTGGATATTACATTGGATAAATGAGGTGTTGTATATTTAACTCGAGAGATAAAGAGGGTCTATAGAGAAGTTAATTAGAGTATTTTTCTCTAAAATTTTAGATCAATAACCCTAAAAATCACGCAAACTCCTCCAAATACTAAATTATCTTTATAGTACATTATTAATAAGTACGAATATCTATCTTAAATTATCTAAATGTTCCCAATTAAAAAAAATACAAAACTCATTTTATTATTATGGTCTTAAATTTTAATCCGTAGTTAATACTCCATTTGATCTTTATCTGTTTTTTTAATCAATCATTAATTAATTTCGTAATGATTGACGCTAAATTTAGTAGGAAAAATTGTGATTCGATCTCTACAACTATGATCGTAGAGGAATTAGAACCACTTAATATTTGTTGATCCGAAATAGAATGTAAAAGATAAACTTCCTTTTATAATAAAGATTAGAGGAAGTAGAAAATAAGAACAAATATTTATCCATGTATAGAAAAACAAAAACAAATAGTAGCTCTGACATTTCCGCGCATTGACATTACCAGCTAGTGACTAGTCCATTTCATTTCCTAAAACCCATAAATCAGTTCTAGGTTCTTCGCGCTTTAAAAAAAAACCCAAAAATGGATGAGACAACCGCAACCGCCGTCGCAGAAACCCTAACAACCGCAACCGCCGTCGCAGAAACCCTAACAACCGTCACTGAAACCCTAACAACTTTGTCACTTCACGAATTACCAGCTCTTCCGTTTGAAGTTGTAATAGAAATTCTGTGTCGTTTGCCGGTGAAGCTTCTCCTTCAACTTCGATGTCTATGTAAGTCCTTCAACACCCTAATTTCTGATCCCAAATTCATTAGGAAACATCTTCGCATGTCAACCGCCTACCACCGCCACCGCCTCCTTTTATACTCTCTAATTGACTCCCATGCACCGTCTTACCCACTTCACTCCACTTTCATCACTGTCACCGATAACGCCATCCGACACCAATACCCTGTTTCTTTAGAAGATCAATGGTTCTATTGCTTCGGCTCTTGCGACGGAATGTTTTGTTTTGAGGTCCACCGCTCTGTTTTTTTGTGGAATCCTTCCATTCTAAAATTCAAAAGATTGCCTTCTTTAGATTTAGGTGCATATGGTTTTGGATATGATACTTCAATAGATAATTACAAGGTTGTTTGTGTTCTTCACAATATGGGTAATACTACTAAAATAATGGTTCATACATTGGGTACTGATTCTTGGAGAATGATTCCAGGTGAGTTTCCTGTCCCAGTAAGCGGGTGCGGGTCGCTGAAATTAGCTAGCGGCACACTCAACTGGTTTGCATCTAATGATCATAGCATTGTTTCTTTTGATTTGGTGAATGAGTCATATCGAAAATTTTCGGCTCCTAACTACGGAGGAGAAGCTGTGTATAGGGTGATCTTGGATGTTTTTAGGGATTGTTTGTGTATTGTAGCTCATAGTCACACATTTTCTAGTGTTTGGATGATGAAGGAATATGGAAATGAAGAGTCGTGGACTCGGTTGTTTCGCGTTCCTCGCAGTGAAGAATCTATCTATGATACACATATCGAGCCAATATGGATTTTCGAGGATGACCAAGTGCTGATGAAGAAGGACACGGAATTGGCCCTTTGTGATTTCAAAAACGGTGCTTTTAATATTCAAATGATTCAAAACATCAATAATTACGCCATCCCTCAAGTCTACATTGAGAGTTTGGTATCACCTTGTACCTAATGCGAGGATTTCAATGTGGCAGGTACTATGTGACTTGAACTTTAGACTCAATTGCAACTTATTTGTTATGTTTATGTTACTTATTTTATACTTGTTCTAGTTAGTTACTACTGACTTTATTGATCATTGTTAATTAGTGGTTGATTGATTGCATATGTACCTTGAAAAATTGATATGTTATTCTCTTTTATTAGATAGTTAGTTTCATTGATTCTCTGTTCATGTACTACCTTTTATTTCACAACTATAGGTTTCTTTGGATGATTTGTGATTCAATTTTCTAAGATTAGATTTTAAACTTGGCTATTTAACCAAAGGCACTAGTATGTCTGAAAAAGATCACTATGTGATTTGAACTTTTACAGATTTTCTTCTGATACAATACTCATACTATTTTCTGAGATGTAAGATGTCTTTAACTTTGAAGTTTCGCTACTGGAGGTTGTTGGTAGAACACCAAACTCAAGCATTCCAGGATAGTAAATTAAGTTGTGTTATATTTCAATGCTCTGTGGATATATGTATTTGAAGTAAGTTGCATGTTTGGGTGGTAAATTGTTTTAAATATCTATCATCTATGTAGCTGTTATCAGCATGTTATATTTATATTTTAATTTGGTTTTTGCTTTGCTTTCATTTTTACTTATCCGCAAATCTGAAGATGCGGGAACAAAGTCAGGAGTAACTATGCACATGTGAAAGATTAAATGTGTTTGGCTGCACATAATATTTTTGACCGTTATGGCATGACAAGTATGATCCATTTCTTTCTGTCTTGTATTTTCTGTGTTGGTTGCTTGTAACTCAATTGGTGTAATGTGGGATACTTGTATTTTCTGAATTATTTTCACTACTTGAAATTCATGCCACACTGTTGTTGGATTTGTATGCCATATCCATTTCATCCCACTTGCAGACGTCGTTTTCAATTAAGCACAACTTTGAAAAATACTCGAATTGCAATTGAATTGTGCAGCATCATTGATGAATTCATTGTTGCTTGTATATTCTTGCATGGAAACTGTTTATCTTGCAATACCTTGTTTCTTTTCTTCCAATATGTTTATTTTACACAAACAATCAATTTACTATTGAGCTGAAAATCATTCTACCTTGCTCAAATGCTCCTTCTTTGACTGCCAGCGCATAATAGACATAATAGATAGAACTTTATGTTCTAAAGTTGCTCAATATATTTCTTTACTAATTGGATAGAAAATGAATGGATGAGTATCTGAACTTAGATTGCATTATTATTTCAACTAGGTGATGGTGTGTCAAACCAATAGCATGAAATAGAAATATGTAGAGCAGCCACTCATGTTCTAATAAGAACTTGACAAAGTTTGGGTTTAACTTTGCTTACTGCGAAGCCTCGAAATTTTTTATGAGCTTGGTAGTGTATCATAGTTCAAATTTGTTTATCTTCAATTATCTATCTGTAAAAATCAAAGTACCTGGAAATCCAAATATTACCCCTCTAATATCAATTAACATTTAATCTAATTACAAGGGTACATTAGACTTTTTTTAACACTACTCTCACCACATTGTTTTGGCATTTATTGTATCTGATGTGTCATCACATTACAATTTAATACAATATTTATTTATTTTTTAATCAATAAAAACACAGTGTTATCCAACTTGCATAATCCAATTATTTCAAACTTTACACGCTACACTCGAAAGTGGAACATCAAGAACCTGCTTTGAATGAACTGTGCCTTCCAACTTTCGATACTGTGTCATCAATTGTTGGCTTTTCATTTTTCTAAACCCTTATTCAAACATATAATGCAAACCATGCCAAACGATACTTTCACAACACCTCTTCTTCAAAGCACATCTTCAAGTTGTAAACCATCTCATGTAAGTTTTGTTATTATCATTACTTCGATTTCTGTTTCAGATTATAGCTTTTGACCTTAACTTGCGGTTTATGACAATTCTGTTTTGTGCTTACAACTATGAAAACCCTAGCGCAAATCGATCTTCTGAATCGTCGATTTAGGGTTCGTTTTTCTTCAACTTCTCAAATTTTCAATTTTCTAAACCTTTACCAATTGATTAACTCCGTGTTTGTTGAATTACAAAAATGGCTAAGTCGAAGAATCACACCGCTCACAACTAGTCTTACAAGGCTCACAAGAATGGCATCAAGAAGCCAAATAGACATCACCACACTTCCACCAAAGGGGTATTCATTCTTATCTTTAATTATTAGTTTTCAATTTTAACTATTTTTGTTGATAATTGTAGATGGATCCAAAGTTTTTGAGGAACCAGAGGTATGCAATGAAGCACAACAAGAAATTTTGGGAAGTTGTTTCTGATGCAGAGTAATACTCTACCTCTTTCATACTTTACATTAGCCTAACACTGTCATTTTTGTTGTTGTTTGATGTAACTTATAAGTTGTGTTTTATGTAAAATCTCACAGGATATTATACGATTGCCAATAATATTTAGTTTTCTTCAAAAGCCATTGGCACAATTTGTATCTGTTCTAAGGGCTCCAAAGAGCAGAGAAGGATATGCTTCAATTGGCGGAGGTTCTCCACTTCGACGTATAACTGATGCACAAGCATGCCACTTCCTATTAATTTTTTTTTCCTTTTGATGATGACTTATATTTCACTCTTAAATCGAGTACAATACTTCAAATTTCAATAGAAAATGAACTAATCATGTTTGAGTAGGAGTTGTTCTAGGCTTTGTTATTCAGTTGTCTGTATATGTACTTGATGCATGAGATTTACCATGTCTAACAGTTTTATATTGTCACCTCTTCTGTAATCTTTATCAATAATTTCGATCAAACTGTTAGAAGTTCCGCTAGTTCTTTGAGATTATAATATTGACTTATATTTTTGGTTGATGTTTTTAAAAGTTTTTTATCACTATGGTTAGAACATATTCATTATATTATTATCCTTGTTCTTCTACTGATCTCTCTTACTCAGGCTGAAGATTCGAAGAAATCTCTCTTTGCAAAGAATGTCCCCGCCGAAGTGTATGTTGGTATGCGTTACTGACATTCATTCACCGAGGAAGCAATTGAACAAGTACTTGATGATCTCATTCTTAGTTCATCATGTAAATACTCTGATGAATTTGATAAAGATTGTGCCAATATGGATTCTCTTTCCAGTTATTATTTTACATCTACAATGAGTTAAGAAATGTCGCTGTATGTTGTGTAATTTAAAAGAAAGGTAGGAAATTTTTTTAAAAAATGAATCAAAGAAATTAAGAATACTAATCAGATATGATTCGTCAAACCTGATTATAATTTAATTTCCTTTTGAAACATATTGTGTAGATTAAAAAAGATAGAATTACAAAGCTGGTTGTTCTCCCGTTTTATCCACAATTTTCAATATCAACCATTGTACTTATAAATATGTTTTTTTTTTTTGTAGATATGTCTCATAGCAGTTAGTTGGGTTATAGTCAAAGTTACAATGCAGAATTATAATATGCACGATTAACCTTTAGGTCTATTTGGTTTTTAAATTTGCATAAGCTAATTATAGTCTTGATTTTTGGTTTTAGGAGAATGGTTCAATGCAGATACTGAGGCCATCATAGCACAAGTCCTGCAAACTTGGGGAGGACCAAATGTTTCGGAAGCCAATGTCTATGAGCATGAACTTTCCATCATCCATTTTCGGTTTTCGCACGGTTTAAGTATTTTGAGTACTGCTTAATCAAGTCAAATCGTTTAGTCATTCAGTTGCGGATTATAGTCATTCATTTGCGTGTTATGTGATCATTGTCCAGTTGTTACAACTTGGAAATCAATCTATGAGTCTCCCTATTGAAGCGGTCAAGGATAATGTGTGTTTAAGTTGATATGTCATGTGTTTTTCGTCTTTGACTTCTGATTTCAAATTTATGGATGTACTTAGGTAACGTGTGTCATCTAAATATGCAAACTGAAAATTCAATGAACTCTACAATGATGAGAATTGTGTGTCATCTGCATTTTGATAGTTGTTTTCCTGTTAACACAGGTCCTGCGGCAAGTCGGCGATTCTGGTGCTTATCAAATATGTAGGTTGAGTCTCCTTAAGATTAAGATCTGACCTCGGCTATGTGAGAGACATCTCTGATCCGACTAAGAACCTTTTGTTCAATCTGTTTGTTGTTATTGTTCTTCCCTTCAGATGACGTTTTGAGGTATACGCTTATGATTTCAAGTTCGTTGCGGAGGGATATGATTCTGTCTTCGACTCCACACAACAAATTAGATTCGCGTTGCAGCAATTGGGACAAGTGTTCCAAAAGGAATGCAACTACACTGTCTGGCATGTGTAAGTGGAAACTGGTTTTTTTTAGTGATTGTTATGTTCTGTCTTACTAAGGATTAAGGAAAATTAAGTTGTTGTTGATGTTATATAATATCATAATGAGAGTCTGGCATCTTCATGAAATAGTTAGGAAAGCAGAAGGAAATAGCGCAAGAAAGACTTGGGTGGACTTAGACTTTGTTATGATGTTTTCTGATAAAAAATCAGAATGATTAGAAATGAAGAGTCATTAAAAGGACAATAAAGGGTTATTAAAAAGAAAATCTGATCAGATAAAAAATTAAAGATTATTTAGCTTCTTTTTTTCCTAATTAAGATTTTAAGTATTGTCTTGCTGTTTAGTATTCATATTTTAGGATTATAATTTTAGCAGTTCAATTATAGCACCAACTGTAGAACTTTCAAGTTTATCAATTTTAGAATTGCTTTCACCTATGGTAGATGAATCAATATAGCAGTTCAATTATCAATTTATAATTAATGTCCATAAAATTTCTAATTATAATTAGTCTCCTTTTATAATTACATGATATAATTATAGAATAAATTTAGATATAAAATTAGTCTCCTTTTGTAATAATTATATATTTTGAAGAACGGTTAGTTATATTAAATGATTATACTCATTTATTTTGTGCGAAGTTTGAATAAAAGTAGTATTTTGTATTGATATTTTTTATATATTTTTAATTGTTATAATTTTCGAAACAAATAGTACAATTTTTTTATCAAGTATTTACAATTTAATTTTGTTTAATTTTTTTAAAGCATGACTAATTAATATCTTTTTATCAAATATTAGAAACAAATATTACAATTTTTTATCAAATATTTGAGTACAATTTAAATTGAAATTTTACAAATATATCTTTTGAATGAAGGCATTAATATCATTTATTTTTATTATATTTATACAGAAATTGTTTTGAATGATGACATTAATATATTTTATTTTTATGCATGATTTGATTACATAAAATTTATGATCAATAAAATTTATGATCAATCTATTTTATTTTTATGCATGATTTGTTTCCATAAAATATTATGATCAATAAAATTTGAATTCTATTTTAATATTATAGATTTGATATTGTTTCATATTGTAGAAATATTATAGACATTAGAATATAGACAGACATGAACAAAATTTAAATCGAAATTTTACAAATATAGTCCCTCTGGTCTCATTTATAAGAAAAAATTAACTTTTTATATACATTGAATAAGTAATGTATTTGGACAATATATTGTCCAAATACATTACTTATTTAATGTATCTAAAAAGTTAATTTTTTCTTATAAATGAGACCGGAGGGAGTATCTTTTGAGTGGAGACATTAATATCATTTATTTTTATTATATATGGAAATTATTTTAAATAGTGACATTAATATATTTTATATGATCAATAAAATTTGAATTCTAATTTTTCTTGAATGGAAATTATAATTTAACAAATAAAATTTTCTACTGTATTCTAAACATATTTGTGTATATTTTTTGAAAGGTTACAATTAGATTCTTGAGAAAATTAATGTAGTCTAAAAGATTGTTCATCTAAATGAAGGTTTTTGCATGCTGTTTTATATTAATTTACTATCTAATTTATTTTTGATTAAATTGTAGAATCTTTTTAATAAAATTCGATTAACATTAAATACTTAATACTCTCTTAGTTAAGTATGTTAATCTAAGAGTTTTTTTTGTCATTTTATTTTTTAATTTAACAATTATTGTTCTTCGTATTGAAAGTGCATGCATAGATCCAAGAATACATGTGAACGTATCTATGAGATATTAACTGTAGATTGTTCATTTTAATATTTATCTTTTAAATCTTTCTTTTGTTGTTGTTTTATATTTATTCACTATATAATTTTATTTTTGTTAAATTGTAGAATCTTTTTAACAAAATCTAATTAACACTAAAGACTTTTGATATTGGTTTATTATAAGTATATATCAATGTATAAGTTATAACTACGTGAATGTTGACTAACTGAATAAAAGAATACAACTTTTACGAATAATAATTTGGTAGACGTGTAATATAAATCTAAACGGTACTTGTGCTATTGCATGTGTTTCTTCTTAGTTTTGTATAAAATGAATAGTTTGAGGACGAAAGACTGTATCTTACGTATAAGTATGTCAAACTTAATTAATCTAGACTTAATGCATCCTTTGGTCTCTTAACTTAATTTAAGGTTTCAATTCAACGCCTTATATAATAAATGCTACTTTTATATCTCGTATTTGTATTTCAGTTAACCAATATCGTCATTTCTGTTAAAATATATGTTATTCCGTTAGTTTTTGCTATGTTGGTAGTCCAACTTGGCACAATTAGGTGACATGGATTTAAATTTATCAATTTTGAATAAAAAAGAATTGTCTTCAAAATGTTTCATTTTAACCCACATATTTCATTTCCATTTCACTACTTCCTCTCACCTCTTTGTGAAAACCCTAACGTCATCTTCATCCAAGTCCATCTTCGCTCAAGAGAGAAATCCAAGTCCATCTTCGTGCACAAAGGTATCATATTTCTCCATTGTTACTTGAGTACATTTCATCCATTTTCATTCATACACCATATTGATACTTTAGTCATCTTCATTTTTAGGGTTTGTGTAACACGAAGAACTTCCACCATCTATTTGAAGGTATAACTAATGCAATTTTTTTACCGTTTTATAACCGTTAACTGTATTTCTCATTTAGGGTTTTCTATATTCCATTTTTAGGTCATGGATAATTGTTTTGTTTGCATTGTTCATCACAATGGTTTGTTTTGTGAGTTAATGAAATTAAGGTACAATGAATTATCCTGATTATTGGAGTTACTTTGAGGTATTAGATGGGTTAAAGGAGTTAGGTTATTCCAGTATAAAGACTCCATTGTATCATGACCAAGTGAAGTGTAATAGCATAGTTGAGTTGAAAGATGACAAAGGAACTATGAGGATGCAAACAATAGCCGAGTTGATTGGGGAAGTCCATTTATATGTTGTGCATCCTATGCAAGAAGCAAATGTTATTGAGGAACTCATACTGTCACTTGATTACAATGTAGTTGTTGGTGACACTGAAAATGAGATAGGAGACATAGTGGATAAAGGAGAGATAAATGATGAGAATGTAGATAATGTAGGAGACAAGGAGAATGTTGAGGGGACCACAGAGGATGATGGTAATCTGGAAGTTAATGTGGAAGTTGATGTGGAAGGCACATACATAAATATGGAATCTGGAGACAAGGGGACCATATAGACTGAACAAGGTGGTGGGACCACTGAAGTTAAACAAAATGAGGGGACCATACATGGAGGAGATGTTGAGGGACTGAATTATGATAAGGATGCAGTTGAGGGATTGAATTGTGATAAGGATGTAGTTGAGGGACGTAACTGTGATGAAGGTGTAACAGTTGGTGACACAGAGGTAGATGGTGATCTGAACTGTGATGATGATGAAATAGTTGGTCACAGTGATGACAGTGCATTGGGAATAAATTTTGAAGATTCTGATGATGATGTGGTAATGAATGAAGAAGTAGTAGTTAATGTTGCTGAAGTTTATGAAGATGAGGAGGGATTTGAAGAACAAATGACTGAAAAGGGGAAAAAATGGAAGGAGTAGAGGGAAGGGTAAGGGAAAAGGAAAAGGTAAAGGAAAGGATAAGGGAAGGGAAAAGGGAATGGTAAGGGAAAAATAAAAGGAAAAGCTAAAGGAAAAGTTGGAAGACCTTGCAAGAAGAAAGTTACTGAGTGTGAAATATCTAGTGCTAGAAGTTTATTGGATAATGATGATGTAGATGAAGAAGAAGCACAACCAAATTTGATGGGTTTGAGTGATGTTGAGGATGAGAATATTGAATATTTGAAGAGTATTTTGGTGAGGATGAATGTGTTGGAAAGGCATTATGGCAAACTTTTAAAATGCCTAAAAGGATGGATGACTATAAGTGGGAATTGGGTACTTACTTTGCAACAAACCAAGATTTTAAGGATGCCATCAGGACATATTCTATACACAATAGTAGGAACATGAAGTTCAAGAAAAATGACAAGAAAAGGATGGGAGTGATGTGTAAACCTGACTGTCCATGGGAGGCATATTGTGCCAAACTCCAAGATGAAGATACATGGAAGCTCAGGAATATTGTTGACAAACATACGTGTAACAGGGATTACAAGATGAGTTTTCTCACCTCAAAGTGGCTAAGTAGTAAGATATAGAAAAATGTTAGAGATAATCTTAGTTTAAGGTTAGTTAACATTATGGAGAAGACCCAACATAAATGAAATATGGGGATTAAAAAAACTCTTGCATACAGGGAAAAGACTAAGGCAATTGAAACTGTTGATGAATAATTTAGAGAGCAATATAAAAGGATACATGATTATGCACATGACCTATTGAGGTCTAATCCTAGTTCAACCGTTAAAATTACCAGTCAACCATTCCAAGGTGGAGAAGAAAGCATTGAGAACCCTCAAAATCAATTGAACCCTCATTTTCAGAGAATGTACATTTGTTTTAAGGCATGCAAGGATAGATTTTTCAAGTGCATGCCTATAACAGGTTTAGATGGGTGCTTTTTGAAAGGTTACTATGGTGGACAGATTCTTGCTGCAACTGAGAGGGATCCCAATGATCAGATGATGCCAATTGCATTCTCTATTATGGAGGGAGAAACAAAATATTCATGGAGTTGGTTCCTTGAATTGTTGATATCTAACTTAGGAGGCACAAGGACATGAAAAACCTATACTTTCATAAGTGACCAACAAAAGGTATAACTAACTTTATTCCCTTAATACACATTAATTTTAGGACTCTTACTGATGCATTCATATATCTTTATTCATAGGGACTCTTACCAGCTATAGAAGAATTGCTGCCTGAAGTGGATCAGAGGTTCTGTGTGAGGCATCTATACAGTAATTTTAGGAAGAAATTCCCAGGTGCTAAACTCAAGGATTTAATGTGGCA